CGGGCACCCAGCGCCCTGCTGACCTGTCGCATCCACCCGGGCGTCCTGCGAGGCAGCTGTCCTGCCTGCCTTCCCCTGGCGTGCTTACCTCTTCTGTTGAGTTAAAAATCCCACATCCGCAGGCTTGTGTGTTCAGGGCGCCCGTCGGCGTGTGCATGTGTCCTGCTGCTTCCAAGTGTAACGTCCACCATATGTAGCACAGTCGTTTAGGGCTTGTATCAGTTTTGGAGGGTACAACTGATACCTGAAAGCAGAACCGGGTCTTCACATAAAAACCACTTTATGAGTCTGTGCCATCTGCTTTTGCGTTACGATCTTTGTTGTCTTGTCTTGCAGAATTTTTAGGGAAGGTCTTTCTTTTGGCTGTTGTTTGCTGACGCTGCCTGAGAGCTTTTCTGTTTACGTTGAGGGGGACTGATGTGCACAGCAGTCATAAAATAATAGGTTAATATTGTGCTTTTTGGCCATACAGATAGCATGGAGAAGACTGGTCTAACACAGTGCTCTGTGCTGACCAGCCAGAATTTTAGTTATAAGTACACTGATGACGTTTTTGAGAAGTAACAATAGTAGTGGTGAAGACAAGTGTGCGTCTGGACCCTTCTTCGTAGATAACTCTGAGGAGAAGTGCTTTAAGAGTTTGAGGAGTGCTTGCTTTTCTGTCACTGACAAAAAGCGGATTTCTACTTGAGCTTGGTGGAGGAACTAGCTATGGATATGTGGGAAAGGATTAAGAATGCACTTCTTCCTTATAGCACCTGTATTTTGTTAACTCTTTCTTAAATAAAAGCCAAGTCTTGCATCACTGCAGCTATTAGAAAATACTTGAATTTCTGTTTGTTATGTTTGTGCTTATCTTTGTGCATGTGTTAGTTATCTGTGATAAACTCCTGACCCTGTTGAAGTCAAAGGTAAAGCTCCTCTTAAGTTCATGGAAATCGGATTTTTGCTTCTTTCTTTTGGTATGGTAGCTTTTTTTTACAAAAAATCACTTATATGAACTTCAGTCATTTTGCTGTGTTGTAATTTAGTTACATGCAGATTTTCATATTCAGTTAGACAGCCGGATCTTCTTTCTTGAAAACTAGCTGTATGGGCATAAAGGCAGGATTTTGGTAGTCGGGGGGAGGAGACCATGAGCAGCCCTGTGCTGGTCACAGCTAGTTCTGGATACCTCTGAAACAAATGGAAATAGCCAAAACTTCTACCTGTCAAAATACTGCATGTGATGCTGCCACTCACACATATTAAAGGAAAAACAGCAACCACAAGGGGCAGGAGACACAAAAGGAGGAGACATGTGAGAGGACGCACTGAAGGAAGCATGTGAGGAGACATGGAGGAGTCTAGGAACGAGAAATGGAAGATAAAGCTGAGGGTGACATTGTTGGGAATGTGGCTGGAGGTGTGTTTTTGGAAGGAGGCAGTCCATGCCAGATGAGATATGCTACCTGAAGGAACTGTGGCCTGTGGGTAAGCCACAACAGGGCAGGGGTACCCCTGTGGGGACTGTGGCCCGTGGAGGATCCCTGCTGGAGCAGGGACACCCCTGAAAGGAGTGCAGCCTGTGGAAGACCCATGCCAGGGCAGGGATGCTCCCAAAGAGACTGTAGCAGTGGAGGGAACCATGCTGGAGCAGAGGAGCTGTAAGAAGCAAGGAGCAGTGGGGAGAAAGCACTAAGAAGTCAGAAACAGGAGACAAAACAAATATGCACTGACTCCAAACCTCTCTGCTACCTGTCACCTTACAGAAGGGATCAGGAGGGCCTGAGTACAACTTGCACGAAAACAAGGGAAACAGAGGAGGAAAGGGGGAGGAGAGGTGTTGGACTGAAGCTGGGCATGGGAAGAGGGGGAGGAAAGGTTTCCCGAAGTGTTTGTTTAATTGTCTTTGTTTCTCAATACTCAAATCAGTAATTAACATTTTCTGCTTGATTTACTGCCAGTTAACAGAATTCCCCAAACTGAGACTATTTTGTCCGTGACAGTAATTGCGGGCAGCGCCTGCAGTGACTGGAAAACTCTGGAAGGAGCCTTGGTTCTGATTTTGGGAATCTGTGGTGTTGTGATGTGAGCAGTGTGCTTGTTGCATTTGTGGGGGGGGAGGGGGGGAGATAGGTGTGAACAGTGTGTAAAGAATGGGGAAACGGAATCCAGGGGGACCCTTGGCGAGCTCTTACTGGACGGAAAGGCAACGAGGAAGAATTGGGCTGGGTGCTGCTCCCAGCCCTAAGGGTCTGGAGCCAGGGCCATCTCCATGTGCAGTACCAAAGAGCAGCAGCCCCGGCAGCGCGGCAACTGTGACGCCCTCAGGAGCGGGCTGCTGTGCAGGGGGTGCCTGGGGGTTGTTGCGGGCTCCCACCAGGGCTCCAGAGTGACCAGGTGCCCAACGTACTGGGGGAGTCATGCTGGCAGCCTTTGTTAGCATTTAGCAATTCAGCCATTTCAACTCCCCGGTTTGGACCTATGCTGCTAGAGTACTAAAATAATGTCAAAGACAATTGTTTCAGCAAAGCTGTTCTGGCTTAAACAATCTTCATCCTGCTGCTCCCCATTGGTGTTTTATATGTTTGATTTAGGAAAATACTTTAGGATGTGCAAAGTAAGAAGATAACAGGGTTATTGATATGTTCAACAAAAGTTTTTCTTACTTGAAGCACTGTCAGTAGCTGCCAGGACCAGTAGTTCAGTTGAAGGGTTTATGCTGAATTTGCTTCGAAGAGGTGTAGGTTTTGAATATTTGGAGTGCTGTACAAGGTTTCATTTGAGGAAGAATGCCCATTCTGACATACAAGATTTGCTAACATACAGCATGTGCAAAAATTTAACTCTGGTTCTTTTTTACCACCTTTTTTTCCCTCTTACTCTTCCCCACATTGAATGATTTTGGTATAAGTACACTAGGTTCAAAAAAAAACCTCATACCCCTTTAAAACAAACAGATGAGCTGAAACAATGAAATCTAAATAGCTACACTGTTAAGTCAAATGGCAGTTTTTATAAATTGTCTGAGGCATGTGACTGGGAAACCAGACTTGGTTTGGCTCTCTCTCAGTTGTACTGAGTCAATGAAGTAAATGGAGTGAGCATGGACTAAATAGCAGTCTTGCTAATAATTAGATAAATTGCCGTTTGCATGTGTTTACTCTGTGTAGTTAGGTTGTGTTATTTGAGCTGTTTCAACTGAATTACTATCCACTATGCCTGACTCAGGTTCTTGAATAAGACCTTTGTGTTTGTAGGGGCTCTTTTAAGGGGAGCGGAGCCACCTACTGAACCCATAAGAAGAGCAGTTTAGTGTTGAGACTACCTCATATGCTAATTCCAAAACCAGCAAAAGTGGACATTCACAACTAAAAATGAATATATAGCTTTGTCTGAAATGGCAGTGTGAGTGATGTACTAATCAGGAAAAAGATTTACAATACTGGCTAAAGTGTTACTCGAGGAAAAGGAGGAGTAAATTCTGATACTTTAGGTCTGTAAAATAGTTATTTCGGTAAAGTAATGATTTCTGCTAACTTCTATTCTAAAGCTATGCAAAAAGCAGAACAGAAGGCTTCTTAAATTAGGAAAAAAGCAGCTAAAGCTGCTTTTTCAGAATTTTGCACTCTGAGACATATCTCATATTTCTGAATCTGTGGAGGTGGATTTGCTGTTTTAACTATGTTTCAAAGTGGTTAGGAATTTTCTGAACAATACATGTCTTTATTAAAGCTGGCAAACAAAGCATGCAGAAACTAGAAGGTGCCTTATTTAAGCTTAATCTGTCTGGTCTCAGTTTTCCTACTGTGTCTTCAGACTTAGACTAAAAATGAATGAAAGTCTGTATTTTATATTATATTTTTCTGAATAACTCCTCTCACTTGTTGGTGACTCTTTCAACTTATGCCAAATACAAAGATGCATATTACAAACTTATTCTGGGATTGAAGAGAGGGAAGGAATGGCTTTTAAGGTAGAGAAGTTGAATTTCATCTTTGCTAACTTGCCTTCAATTTTGGTAGTGTTTGGTAAATCACTTAAGCTGTTCATAGCCTGCTGTGTTATTTTCGGGGTCTACGGAAGTGGACAACTGAGTCTTGTTCCAGTATTGTCTGTCATTCTTGTCAGCGGGGATTCTAATTACAGTACTTCAATAATACAAACTAATTTCTGTTTTTCGAAGGCATCTCTAGTAAGATGGTATTGAAGTTGTTCACTCTCTTGTTTCCCTAGCTGTAAGTGGGAAGGATAGGACCCTGTCATTTAATTGATAAACAAATTAGTGCTTTAATCTTTTTTTTTTTTTTTAAATAAAGCATCTATAATTTAAACAGTAGTCAATGAAGAAGTCATGAGTTTGGTGTTTGTGCAGAGTTTGGATATAACTGGGCAGATTACATCTTATCTACTGAGTGGAACACAGGACTGTCAAAAATGAAAATGTCATAAAACATCTGAATGTAATTACAAGCATAACTTACTAATAGCTTTATGATAGTATGCACACAGGAAGCGACTTCAGATTGCGCAGATATAGGAATCCCAAGTTTCCTGATGTACCTGGGTAACTTTAAAAAGCACTCTAAGACCTATCTTCCAAACATAAACAAAACATACTCTGGAATCAAACATGTATGTGAAGTCGTCTTAATCTCTTGGTTAATATGTGTTACTGTACAGCAATTGTGAGCTTTCATTCTTAAGAAAATAGCCATTCTGTTTTTTTTTACCATTGTATTTGTACATGTCTTGCTGCATAATTGATGCATCTATGTCCAGTCTCACCACATGTTGTTCGGAGACCTCTCTGATTGTCTCTTATTTTGTATTTTTGACCTTTTTTGTGTGTTAGTGTGGCTAGTTCATGCTTCATGCTTTATTTCTTCACCATTGTGGTCAGCATCTGGCAATAGGCTTGCTAAGGTAAGTATTAAAAAGAGTAAAACTTGTGTGCTTTGCCCACACTGAGATGCACTTTTCTCTTTGGTTTGTGGAGGTTTGATTCTGTGGTAGCCCTGTCACAGATAGGAACCATAAGAGGATGCAGTGGAGTTCTAATCTAAAAGATGCTCTTAGGAGAATTCACCTGTTAGTATCAAGTATTATGAGGCTTTAAGTGAACTAAAACTTGAATAGATTTTCATGGAGGTAGTGCAGATATTCATTTCTGAATTTTAGTTTTGTTCAGCACTGTAGTTGAATCTTCACTGAACTTGAATCATTTAGGCTGAAATTTTCCGTGCTAGTCGCCTACTTGGCGGTGAATAGTTCTTCCTGTTACATAGCTGATGATGAGCTTGAGGTATAGTGTTGGTAACCTTCACGATAGGTTGCAATCTGGGGTCTTGTATGTGTGAAAACAGGGAATAAACCAAGCTCATAATCTGTATTAGGAATGTTTTCCTGCAGGACTCTTGGAAAGGTAAAAATAAGCAAAAGAAAACTTGGATCTTTGACCACAAACTAGGGCTTTAGAGAAGCATGAAAAGCTGCAAAGTTTTGTGAGGCTTATGTTTGATTGTGGGTAATGTTTTTAACGTCCTACTTTTTCTACCTGCAACCCACTCTCCCTTTATCTAGGCATTAAGGATGGACCCTACTTACTGTGAAAGCCTTGTAAGATATTTGCTGCAGGTATTGTATCCATATAACTTGCTGGATTGCTTTTACTCAGCAACTATATGATAGCATTGTGGTGGAGGGGAATCTGAAGGCCAGCAGAGGAAAGATAGTAAGTGTAAATACTGGGGATGAAGAAAGGAAAAACAAAGGTAATGGGAACAAACAAGTGGTTGAAATTTCAACAACTCAGAGGTAGTGGTGAAAAGTCAGTTTCCCAGCAGTGAGTGGGAAACTGTAGGTTATTTTACACTGGAGAGGACTGTTGTAGTTTAGCAGTTCCTGCTATATGCTCAAAGTAGGATGAATCTGCAGCACTTTGCTCTATGGTCAGTGTATGGATAGGGAAATGATAGCTTGTGTCTGTGATAGAGCAAAGCAGCCTCTGAAGGCATTCAAAGAGTTTGAGAGG